GACGATTGTACTACCAGTGCGGTTCGTTTTGATTCGAGCACCGCGGGCAGAACTCCTGCTGGCTCTTGGTCGGCGTGCACGGCGACGTTGGACTAGTTTGCCTCTATTGTTGGGCGGGTTGGATTATGTTCCGGATGTCATTGATCCAGCGGAATAATCCATTGTGGGCCACCTTCCAGACACTCGGGAGGATCTGGAAGCATCTTCTCATAAATCTTTCAATAGGAATTGCGAGGGGGAGGAGGGGGAGAGGGAAGAGTAGGGGGAGGAGGAGGAGGAGGAGGGAGTGGGAGGAGAGGAGGAGGAGTGGGAGGAGGAGGAGGAGGAAGAGGAGGAGGGAGTAGGAGTAGGAGGAGGAGGAGGAGGAGGAGGAGGAGGAGGAGGAGGAGGAGGAGGGGAGGAGGAGAGGAGGAGGAGGAGGGAGGAGGAGGGGGGAGGAGGGGGAGGAGGAGGAGGAGGAGGAGGAGGAGGAGGAGGAGGAGGAGGAGGAGGAGGAGGAGGAGAGGAGGAGGATGAGGAGGAGGAGGAGGAGGAGGGGGAGGAGGAGGAGGTGGAAGAGGAAAAGGAGGAGGAGGTGAGGAACGATGGGATAAAAGGATGGGGGTTTTCCGTGAGGGCCAGACTCTTGCGCGTCAGAGTGCAATGAGTGGTAAGTATTGCGGATCAATGTTGAAGCCTTGTGGTTCTGTTGACGCGCTTAAGCCAGCGCAGCTTCAGCATGGGGCCTGGCGCTGAGGCCGCGGGTGGTGCGACTTAGGTTCCTTCTATTGCTAGGTGGGCAGGATAATGTCGGGGCTTTGTTTTCCCAGTGGGTAATGCTGTTTGGGCGGCCCTGCAGGACAGAGGATTGTTGAGCACGTTTGTGCGAGAATTGCTGTATAGATCTACACATTCGTTGCCCAGGGCGCTGCTCGCCATCTCCTCCTTCATTTCGTTGTGTTGTAAAACATGTTCCATGCCGTCATACACGTATAGTAATCGCAAGCGCATGCCCAGCGCCAACGCCCGCGACGCGGCCCGCCGATCATGTGCCCACCATTGTTCGCCGTGTTGGATAATCTTTTCTATCGGCGGTAAATGCCCCCTTCTGAGCTACATGTATACAGCCCATGTGCATCTTAAGCCTCTCCTTCTCTTGCCACACCCCAGCACTCCCCTCTCCCACACCCCTCCGCCTTTTCCATCGCATGCCTGGGCTCCATTCCCGCCACTCTGTCCTTGCTCACCCGCGCCCTGTTCAGAATGATGATTGTGATGGTTATTGTGGTTGTGATGGTGGTGATGACGTTGGTGTTGAGAATGGCGATGATGGTTCAGAGAAGGGGTAAGACGAGTAGGGAGGGGAGGAGGAAGAGGCAGAGGATGTGGATGAGGATGGGTGCCGCGACAAGGAGGACAGAGGAGGAGGAAGAGGAGGAGGAAGAGGAGGAAGGAGGAGGGGGAGGAGGAGCAGGAGGAGGATGCATGCTGATTGATGAAGAGGGGGTAGGAGATGGAGGCTGGGGATGAGGAAGGCCAGAAGCAGGGATGCCGATGAATGTTATGGAAGAAGAGGGGAGGCTGTGGAGGAGGAAGATGACGGAGGAGGAGGAGGACGAGGGATGAGAAGGAGTACTACGTGGAGGAAGTGACAGACGACGAAGGTGATGACGACGAGCAGGAGGCTGGTGAGGCGAAGGACGAGACTCTGCTTGCCTCTGTCCTCAATCCTGCGAGCGGATCCTGGCCAGGCGGGAGGGCTGCGGATGTCTCAGCTAACCCTCCTCCGATAATCGGCTGGCACCGCGCGATCTGGGCTGTCGGGGAGCCGCGGCCGCGCAATGCTCAACGTTCCGCGCGGTGTCAGAAGCCAGTGCCAGCGTCGTCGCGGCGTGAGCCCGCGCCCTCGCGTTCGCACCCAGACCAAGTCGTGCCGCCCGGATTTCCTTCATGCGTCCCGTTTGGCCGCTTCTGTTTCAACATCAAGTTGTCTCAGGTATCTGTTTGGAGCCACCTACGTGTCGATTTGTCCGCCCTCCTGCTTGAACTCATCGCCACAGCGGAGGGCGGCTTACCGTGCAGGAAAGACAGGCCAGGGAGAGGAGGCGGGGGTGCGGAGGGGGACTTCCACCACCGTTGTGTATCGAAACGCCGACGGAATGTGTGAACTGGCTGGTGCGAGGGCCGCGTTGTCGAAGATCCCCTTGCGAGCTCATCCTGGACTCGTCGACTCGACTGTCTGTTCTGCTTCCGCCCCTGCTGTTGTCAATGCGACAGAGTTGTGACGCCGCCCGCTGGGGCTCGAGCGGCCGCCTCTTGCTCTTATCCGTATCGCCTCAGCGTGTTTTTAGTTGATATGAAAGGTGCAATTCTCATGCAATTTCTGGTGTTCCAGGTTCCAGTTTAGGACTTGTCAGGGTGCAGTTGTTTCTGACAACGTATTGCGTTTGACGATTTCAAAGATGACGCAATTGATTTGTTTTGCGAGGGTTTGGGTGATCAGCTTGTATTGCCAGGATGTTCAGTCTTTTGCAATCTCCCATGTTTCCGATCATGTCCTCAATGAGTGGGGGGTTGGGGCTGAAACAGCACGGACGGGGGCGAGCATATGAGCACGAATAAGAATATGAAGAACAAGTTCTGGAGGGTGACCATGATTGGTAGAGGGAGTATAAGGGAAAGGGGGGAAAACAATGACTACTATGACGAAGAGGGGTCAGAAAAAAATAGGCAGACGTACAGTCCCGCGGGCACAGATCCAAATGCTTCAGCCCAATTCCCAGGAGCAGCTACATTGACGTCGAGTCCGCATTTGTCGGGCTCTATTCGTCGATATGTGCTGCGCTTGCAGCGCGAGGGCGGTTGCAGCCTCGATGTTCTGCAGATGCGGGGGCGTGGTAGACGTAATATGCGAACCCTGTCAACGAGCACATCGCCGTGCCATCTTTATGAACCGTGGCAGTGTGGTTCTACCGTACGTGCCCTTTCCTGCGCGTGGAAAGAGGAGGGAGCACAGGGCGATGGTGGAGCGAGGGTGACCGGGAGCAGGGAGCAGAGGGGGGGCCGTAAGAGAAGGGCGCCGCCGCCGTGACTCAAAGAGCCTCCAGCCTCCGACGACCTGGAAGAGGAGGAGGACGACGCGTCGTCGTCGCCCCGGTCATCGTCGACGTCGTCGTCGTCGTCCACGCCACCCGCGCCGCCGTCGTCGTCGGCGTGAGTCGCCGCCGCCGCCCACCCTCCGGAGGCCCTCGCGGCGGCGGCCTCCTGCGACGTTCCTGCAGGCAAGGGCGCCGCAGGCGAGACGGGGCGCCGTCGTCGTATTCGCCGGAGGAGAGGAGAGTGACGCGGGAGGGAGGGTAGGAGAGGGAAGGAGGGAAGCTAGGTGCGCTCGCGCCTCATCTGACATCCTATCCCTCCCTCTCATCCCTCCCATGGCGCTGATTTTTCTCAATCCGCGAACGCGTGTCATAGCCGAACTGCGATTCACACAGAAATGCAAGTCCGTGTTATGCGCAATCGGAAAAAAGGGAGTTGCGTACACATGAGGAGGAGGAGGAGGAGGAGGAGGAGGAGGAGGAGAAGGAGGAGGAGGAGGAGGAGGTGGCGGGTGAGCAGGAGGGTGGGCGGGAGGAAAAGAAGAAGGACGAGCAGCAGCAGCAGCAGCAGCAGCAGGCGGAAGGATCGGGAGGGAAGCAGGACCAGGGGAAGGCGGAGGAGGAGAAATGAGGGGGGCGACAACGATGAATGAAGACTCAGATTCAGAAAAGTCCGCGCCGTGGCGAGACGTACAACAGCAGCAGGAATTGGAGTGGAAGGAGCGGGAGGAGCAGGAGGACCAGCGGAATGCGGAGGAGGAGAAATGAGAAGGTGGGAAGACCACAATGAAGCAAGACTTGGATCCAGAAAACTGTCCCGCGCTGGGGCGAGAGCGCCATTCTGAACGACGGGAGCAACGCGCTGATCCGAAAATGAGGCCAACGCTGCAGCGGGAGCTCAATTTTGAACCACCGAAAACACTTTTGGATGGTAACGACCAGAACCATAACACAAGTCACTTGTTTGAATCTTCGGAGGGGGGCGGGAGGTTTTCCGATCAATTTCGGGGGAGAAGGGAGAGTATAGCTCATACGTTTAAGTTCTAGCGAGAGAGGGCGAGAGCGAGGGCGAGAGCGAGAGAGGGCGATAGAGGCAGCGGGAGCGGCGGCGACGGAGCAGTGGGCGGGCCCACGCTTCAAAACGCCGTGGGGACGCCGGGTCGGCGGGCGCGCGGGTCGAGGTGGGCCGCGGGGGTCGCGCGGCGTGCGCGGTCCCGCCCGCGCGCGGGCCCTCAGGCGACGGCTTGTCCCTCGGGGGCGCCGCTGCCTTCAGGCCCGAGGACTTCGAGTACCTGAAGGCCCCCCCTCCCCTCCTCCTCCCTCCTCATGCTCCTCGTGCTCCTCAGTCGTCTCTTCGCGGAGAAGGAAAAGAGGCATAAGCATGCCTCTTCTAAGCGCCACCCAGACTTCTTGGATCTGCGCTGCATCTTCGAAGCCGTATGTGCATACAATTGTTTATCCCTCTATCCCCCTTTCCATCCCCGTCGTCTCCCAATTCCGTCCTCTCCCCCGCGCTGTGGTCGCTCGCTAGGAGTGTCCCAGGAGCCTCGTGTCCTGCTTCCCTTGACCTCCCTCCTCCGATGAAGAGGCTGGGTAGCTTGCTTTTTTTTAAGCAGGAGCTGCCCGTGACAGTTGTTGCCCGGGAGCTTGGTGCCACAGCAGCAGAGTTGGTGCCAACGTATTTCGATGGTTGGTGCTGTCTGGTGGAACCGATTCCTCCTGCTCTCTGCGTTCCTTTCTCCTCGTTCTCTGTCTCCTCCGCCAGCTTGGTGCCCCTGGGGCCAGCGCTCTCACGATGTCCCTCGGGTCGTTCTTCTAGCCTTCCTCGGGCGATCCTCCGGCCGCCGCGCACGCGAGCGCTCCCGCTGCGCCACGCTCGCCGACGGGCGCGACGAGTCGGGGGACTTCGGCGAGACGCTGGGCGCGATGCGGGCGCACGGCGTCTCGGAGGCCGAGGCGTGCCGGGTGGCGCCTCCGCTGCCTCCTCGTGCGTTTTCGCTCGGGGCACGATAGGGTGAGGGAGGAGGGAGGGGGGGGGGCTATGTGTCGGGTATGAGGAGTAGGACGGAGGAGTCCTCCTCTCCATTGGGGAAGAAGAGGATGATCAGGAGGAGGAAGGGGTGAAGGAGGAGGAGGAGGACGAGGGCGAGGGTGGAGGAGGGACAGCAGCAGGAGGATGAGGAGTGGGGGGGGGCCTGAGGAGGGGGAGGAAAAGAGAAGAAAGGAGGAGGTGAAGGAGGAGGTCGCCCTCACCATTGGGTAAGAGGGGAATGCGCAAAAGGAACAGTAGGAGAAGGAGGTGGAGAAGGAGGAGGCGGATTTGGGAAACAATGAGGATGAGTAGTCCTCCTCTTCACTGAGGGAGAGGAGGATGAGCATGAGGAGGAAGAGGAGCTTGCATGGACGCCCTTGCACATGATGACCACCGGCTCCAGGCGGGGCGCCTCCTAGTGAGCATGCGCGGCAGAAGGGCTTATCTCTTGATCGAACCATTACTTCCATACGTACATCCAAATTTCCATATAGCGGCTGTCTGGCTGCCATCCATATTTACGGCTGTCTTCGGTGTCCTTGCGATCGTATTGTTGTCCTTTCCAGTCCTTTCCGCTCTGCTGTGCATGTCTTCTGCTGTTTCTGATCCTCTCCTGTCCCCGCCCTTTCCCCCTTCCCTTGCGCCCGCCCTTTTTCTGTTGCTCTCGTCTCGTCTTGTCGTCTTTGCCGCCGCCCCCTCCGTTCCCCGTCCCCCCTTCTCCCGTCCTCCCTCTGCCGATTCCTCGGCGAGCATCGCACGAAGCGGTGCGGTGCACGCGCGGCGGCTCGTCGGCCTGGTGCCGTGTCCGAGTTTGCCGCTTTTGCTCGTGGCGGATGCGCCCCGCCCCCGGCAGCCCTTGCAAGTGCGTAGGGTGTTTACGGAACCCTCTTCGACACGATGCAGCAAAGCCAGCCGCGTCGACTGTTTTTCTCTTGTTGCTTATGTTATATCTATATGTGTATATATACATATATATATATGTGTGTGTGGAGGAGGGTGGAAGGGGGGAGGTGGGTAAACAGGATAAACATGTATGAAAAGCACATGTCAAGGCCGTCGGGCCCCCTCGCCCCATTGGCCTACCGTGGCCGGGTGTTGTCTCTACAACAGTCATCTTCGCACGCGTAGCTGAAAACATCAAGCGCCAAGCGGTGTCGAGATTGTCGCGCGCGCAGCTGAACAATCAACCATTGCGTCCCGCCGCGCGGAGGCGCGCGCCCCCGTGGCTCGAGACCGACAGACTGCCAGACGACGCTGCCACCCGCCGCGCCCTCGGTGCGGGCGGCGGGCTGTTCCAGGCCCGACGGAGCCCGCGCCCCGATCCCGTCTACTTGTCGGCGCGGCGAGCCAAGCAAGAGGCCCTGGGGCCGCGCGCTGGGGGGGGGGGCCGGCACGGGGGTAAGCCCGCGCCCGCCCACCAGGGTCGCCGCCCCACAGGGGGCCAGGGCGCTCAGGCCCCCGCGCCACCCTCCGCCACTCGTGCGGCATGGTGTTTGGCTCAACTTCTGCCCCGCCGACGCAGGCGGCGCCGACAATGTTGCGTTCTACGGCCATGCCAATGTGCTCACCGGGCCCCCGGTTTATGCGGCGGGGGAAAGAGGAGGGTCAGCAGCACCAGGAGGATGAGGAACGGGGGGTGAGGGCGGGCTTGAGAAAGAGGAGGACGAGGAGAACCAAGAGGAGGAGGAAGGGGAAATTATACCCACAGTAGCAGTACAGGGAGTTCAAAACAACTAGGACGGCACGCCCGGACTCAGTCTCGCGTGCCTACTCTGGAATCATAGTTTTGAGGTGTATTGTTTTCTTCTATGCCCTGCCATCATTGCGCGAGTGATATTCGGAAACCTAGTTTTACAAATGGTCACGGTTATGTTCCCCCAGATTTTCCTCCCGATTGTCCTCCAGATCTTCACCCATATCTTCTGTTCCCCCAGAGTTTCCTCCCGATTGTCCTCCAGATCTTCACCCAGATCTTCCCCCAGATGTTTCAGACCTGCACCCAGATCCCCTCCAAGATCGTCACGCATATCTTGACGTCTTCCTCCCGATCGTTATTAATCGCTTCGCTCATTCCGCGGGCCCATATTGTCGCACCCTTGTGGGCTAGCCGAGTTTTGGGGCCTCTTGGGGGCCGTTTTGGGGCCTCTTGGGGCCTCTTTTGGGCCTCTTGGGCGCCTCTTGGGGCGTCTTGGGGGCCTCTTGGGGCCTTTTTGGGGCCTCCTGGGCGCCTTCTGGGGCGGAGGGCTCGATTTTTCAGTTTTCGGTTCCCCTCTTCAGCCCCTCTTGGGCCCGTCTTGGGGCCTCTTGGTCCGTCTTGGGCGGCACTTGGGCCGTCTTGGGAGCCCTCCTGGGCCGCTCCGGGGCCTTCTTGGGAGCCTCGTGGGCCGTCTTGGAGCGGTTTTGGGGGCCTCTTGGGCCTTCTTGGAGCGTCCGGAAGCCGAAAAAGCCAGAACGCAAAAAACATAGAAAAAACAATTAGCCTGGCGAAGGACCCAACCATATGCAGTTGAGAGTACCGCAATTGTGAATATCTTCTTCGGTGGCGCTCCCTATGGGGCCACGAGCCGTATGAGGGGTGTGCCGAAATGCGTGGCAGTGTACACAACACGAACGAAGACGATAGGTCCGAATATGAAAGCTTGAGCGCGTGCGAGTCGGATCGCGAGCGAGTTCGATTATAAATGCATATGGGCGCGATTGATTCTATTCGCATGAATGCGTGCATGGATACGCCCAGTGTAAATGTATGTATACGACTGTGAACAGTTTGGGTATGCGTGACTCTCGGTACTCGTTACTCTGAGCGTCGCCCCTGCAGGGGGCTTCCCTGGGAACCCCGACGGCAGCGCCCGCGCGCCGCGACGCCCATGTCGGCACGCCACACACGAGGATCGCGCTCGTTTCCTCCCCTCATTTGTTCCATCTCCTTTGCCCGCGCACTCCAAAGACCAAGGCTGCGGGCGCAGCGCAAGGCGGAGCCCCCGCGACGCGCGCAGGTCGCCCCGAAGGGGTCGCAGTGACGCGCGCAGTTCGTCCGCTGAGCGGATCAGAGAGTGATTGCTGGCTGACTCGTAGCGCGCATGGCTCTGGCCGCCAGGCAGAGCGACGAGGGGCGGGCGAGGCGCTGGGCAGAGCGCAATGCGGAGTTTGCGCGACGCGCGCTGATCGCCCCGAGAGGGTCAAAGCGACGCGCGCCTTCGGTGGAGCTCCCTGTGGGGCCACGAAACGTGTGAGGGGTGTGCCGAAATGGGTGTGCGGGACGCATGCGGACGGCAGCATGGGGCCTTCGGTGGAGCTCCCTATGGGGCCACGAAACGTGTGAGGGGTGTGCCGAAATGGGTGTGCGGGACGCATGCGGACGGCAGCACTGGGGCCTTCGGTGGAGCTCCCTGTGGGGCCACGAAACGTGTGAGGGGTGTGCCGAAATGGGTGTGCGGGACGCATGCGGACGGCAGCACTGGGGCCTTCGGTGGAGCTCCCTGTGGGGCCACGAAACGTGTGAGGGGTGTGCCGAAATGGGTGTGCGGGACGCATGCGGACGGCAGCCATGGGGCCTTCGGTGGAGCTCCCTGTGGGGCCACGAAACGTGTGAGGGGTGTGCCGAAATGGGTGTGCGGGACGCATGCGGACGGCAGCATGCCTTCGGTGGAGCTCCCTGTGGCCACGAAACGTGTGAGGGGTGTGCCGAAATGGGTGTGCGGGACGCATGCGGACGGCAGCCATGGGGCCTTCGGTGGAGCTCCCTATGGGGCCACGAAACGTGTGAGGGGTGTGCCGAAATGGGTGTGCGGGACGCATGCGGACGGCAGCACTGGGGCCTTCGGTGGAGCTCCCTGTGGGGCCACGAAACGTGTGAGGGGTGTGCCGAAATGGGTGTGCGGGACGCATGCGGACGGCAGCCATGGGGCCTTCGGTGGAGCTCCCTATGGGGCCACGAAACGTGTGAGGGGTGTGCCGAAATGGGTGTGCGGGACGCATGCGGACGGCAGCCATGGGGCCTTCGGTGGAGCTCCCTATGGGGCCACGAAACGTGTGAGGGGTGTGCCGAAATGGGTGTGCGGGACGCATGCGGACGGCAGCACTGGGGCCTTCGGTGGAGCTCCCTGTGGGGCCACGAAACGTGTGAGGGGTGTGCCGAAATGGGTGTGCGGGACGCATGCGGACGGCAGCCATGGGGCCTTCGGTGGAGCTCCCTATGGGGCCACGAAACGTGTGAGGGGTGTGCCGAAATGGGTGTGCGGGACGCATGCGGACGGCAGCACTGGGGCCTTCGGTGGAGCTCCCTGTGGGGCCACGAAACGTGTGAGGGGTGTGCCGAAATGGGTGTGCGGGACGCATGCGGACGGCAGCCTGGGGCCTTCGGTGGAGCTCCCTATGGGGCCACGAAACGTGTGAGGGGTGTGCCGAAATGGGTGTGCGTGCGGACGGCAGCACTGGGGCGGTGCGGTTTCCGGTTGCGGTGGAATGGGTGTGAGGGGTGTGCCGACCGCATGCGGGCGGCAGCCCTGGGCCTTCGGTGGAGCTCCCTATGGGGCCACGAAACGTGTGAGGGGTGTGCCGAAGTGGGTGATGACGATGACGATGACGACGATGACAATGGCGATGATGATGATGATGATGATGATGATGATGATGATGATGATGATGATGATGATGATGATGACGATGATGATGATGATGATGATGATGATGATGATGATGATGAGGATGATAGGAGGGGAGAGGAGGCGGAGGAGGAGAGGAGAGGAGGAGACGCGGGCCACCGTCCCTTCAAAACGAGGACCCAACACCACAGGATGGTTGGGAATGAAAATCAACGATTTTGGCCTCTTGGGGCCCTCTTCGGAGGCCTCTTCCTCCCGATCGTTATTCATATGTTCTCCTCCTCTTCCCACCAAAATCCATCCCTGGATCTTCACCCAGA